CAGCAGTTTTTGAAATGAACAATATTTGCATATTCCTAGAAGAGGTAGATGTTACTGCTATATTTCAACATAGAAAATGCACTTAAAAGATGAAAATGTCTTTGGGATGTAAGTTCAGAATGTATATTTAGTTGTTTATTGTAACCATTTGATTTTCTTACCGTATATATTTCACTTTTACATTTGCCTCTGTCTCACTTTAAACTGTATGAAGGGTGCTAAAGTTGAAAGATTAAGTGACTGACTGAGCGACAAACAAAATTAAGTGCCTGGTGTGACTACAGTAAAAAGCCTTGCAATAGCTAGTGGTCAAAATATCATCCAATAATTAATCACCACTTTAGTTTTACTGTGCTCATCAGCAGAACACTCACCTGTGCATGGCAGTGTGTTCTCCATGGTCCAATGCATTTTGTGATTTGTCTCTTTGAAGGTGAGCACAACATCCACCCTGTAGAATGACTGCAGGAGTAGTTTGCTGTCTGCGCAGGTCTGTAAAACAAATCCGGTTTATGTTTTACACTGTAATGAATCCTTATGGGGAAAGACATGTCATAAACTGGACCAACTACAAGACACCAAATGGACACGGGAAATGTTAAAGTAAATGTGTTTCAGAACCAACCTTGGTCTGCAGTATTTGGGTTGTAGGAATGATCAGTGTCACAAATTCACTTGTCTCATGCACAGTGAAATTATCCGTCTGGTTCACCGCCACATCACTGACTGTCAGGCCTTCGTTGTCAGAGCTGCCTCGCTTGGTCAAGCCCATGCGTCGTTTGAAAATATGCAGCACAGTCTCCTCTGCTGTGGATGTTGTCACTAAAATCAGGGATAAAATGTTTTACTCATATCAGTGGTGGAGAGTAACTAAGTACATTTACTCTATTACTGTACTTGAGAAAAACTTTGAGGTACTTGTATGTAAGAATTTTCATTTTGTGTTACTTTATGTGTTTATTTTACATATAAATATTAATAAATAATTTTACAGAAAATACACTAAATTTACTTTTTTTACTTAAAAAACAAGTGATGAGCTCATAAAATACAATTTTTTGTTTAAGATTAAACCAGTGGCTCCCAACCTTTTCATCTTGTGACCCCTTACAAAAGAGCAGTATCTACTGCCACCTCTAAACTTTTCCAATGGTTTCATTCAAATATCAGCTACAATATTTTCCAAAGAGGTCAAATATTATGCAACATTCAAAATTCCAAAACTAAATACAGTTTTGTGTTGCAGAACTTTGGTTTTTATTCTTTACCATCCTTATTAAGCATCTGATGATCCCCTCAGATTTATCTCTTGACCCTTGGGGGGGGGGTTGGGTTGGGAACCACTGGACTAAACTATGTCACTTCATATAAAGTAGTTAAAAGTAGCAGCAGTTTCACCACAATAATAAAACCATAAAATTCTACATTCGATACTTTAAGAGCATTTTGCTGTAAGAGTTTGAATGCAGAACTTTAACTTATAGTTGAGTAGTTTTACATTGCCATAGAGCTGTGGTACTTTTATTTAATCTAAAAGGATCTGAGTCTTTCTTCCACTTCTAACTGGGATTAACATAAACAACATTTGCCACGATGATGCGGCAAAGGAAAATAACTTCCAGTTCTGATTCTCTGCTTGATACCCACCCTTTGGACACACAGCTTCCATACTGTAGGCATACTGACCACTGACCAGCTTCAAGGCCAAGAATTCCCCATCAATTTCCATTACCTGAGTTGGACAAAGTACACAACCTCATTACTTGAGTCAAAGTACAGATACTGCTGGTCAAATATGACACCAATTCAAGTGAAAATTGTTTAGTCAAGTTAAAGGACTGGAGTACTTGCTTTTTAAAAATACTTTAGTATTCAAAAGGAAAGTTTTTAATGTCAATGCATAGTTGTATTGTTCCTCAGTGGATTTATAGAAACCTAATGACTCTGAAACAACTGACTGACTGTAGAACCTGTGGAATACAGTATTAAGCTTGTAGGATATACTTCAAAGCCAATAGAAATTGCTATTAAAAGACAATCGAATCAACAAAAGGACAGCTATTGTCGTTTATGTGTTTCTTTTTTTTTTCCTTTTTTTTGATGCAGTGAGGAAGTTTGGTCGTGGTAAACAGCAAATATTTAGAATGAGAGGAATCTTTATTTGTGAAATTTCAAACATGGACTTAAGATCAGACCATGGTCTCTGGTGAAGAATCCTCTGCCTCATCTTTATCTAACGTCGCCATCGTTAGGCTACTGCAAAGAGCTGTTCAAACACGCAGTAAGTAAAACATGACTGACAGTGGAGGAGTTGGCTGTGATTGTGTTTTTTTCCTGTGATGCACACGGTTTATGGTCCATCACATTTTTAAAATAAAATAAAATTCATTCCTCAGACTAAAAGCTCTAATTCAAAGTAAGAGAACTTCATAAAAATGTAGTGTAGTCAGAAGTACAATATTTGTCTTTTAAGTGTAGTGGAACTAAAGTCACAAGTTTATAAAAAAAAAAAAAAAGCTTTTTAGTAAAGATACTAAAGATACAAAAAAAAAAAGAAAAATATACTTAAGTACAGCACTCAAGTAAATGTACTTAGTTACTGTCCACCCCTGCCTGTGTTAACAAAAATGACAGTCCAAAATAATTTAGTCAATTTACTTTGTAATGTTGCCAATGGTCACCAGGCGGCAGTATGATGCGTGAGCTTCCTTACCTTCATAGGGCTCAAAATCTCCTTCCTCCTGCCATGGACTGTAATGTCTGGTCCGTTCATGTCAATGTCCATCTGGATCAGGCTGGCATCCTCCAGAGCTACAATGAGGTGATCGCTCAAAGACAGTGACCACTGCAACTGTGACGCAAAACCAAACATGCAAACACAAAAACAGTCAAAGACAGATTTGTTCCCTCTCTTATCCATACGCATCTACAAATGTATTTGAGAACATTTATAAGAATTAAATGAATTACTACCTCATTATTCCAGTTGTCATGGGGAACTTGTCTGATCACCTTAAGACATACACAAATCCTATCAGAATTAGAAAGCAACCCAAACAAACTTTGTTGAAATGTGGCTAAATGCCAAATGAAAACAGTGAAATGTGAAATGTATGTGTGATGAACACCACTGAGCATTTACCTGAATATACTCAGGGTCACACTGGACTTGCTCTCTGTTGGGCAGTACAGAAACGACGGGGCACGTCATTATGAAACTGTGGCGTCTGCCTCTGAATCGATTTATCCTCTTCATCAAATTCAGTGTAAGCACGTGGAAGTCATGCTGAATAGTTATAATACAATCAAAGATTTGTCACCACCAGGCCTGGGCGCAAAAGGTTGAATGTCAATGTCTGATATATGGATTAGATATTTCTTAAACGAGTGACATACCAGTTGCTGGACAAAACATCCAGTGTAACTGACTCTAAAAATGAAGTTCTTGTCAGGGCCTTTGTGCAGTGAGAATCCACAGGCAGACAGCTGGAGGTTTAGGTGATCCAGAGATGCAATGTTGACTTATGGAAAGAAAAGGCAATTCTAAGGCAAAGTACTCATTCTCATATTTATATCAATATTTTGCCACTTGATGTGTCAGAAACAATTACCTTGGACTTGTAAGGCCCTAGAGAGCCAGACTGCCAACCCTTCAATTCTCGCACTGTGAATCCACACCTCCATGTATTCAGAAAAACAAGTCACATCTCCCTCTGAAAAAGTACAAAAGTACAATTTTCCTCAGATACCATGTGAAAACATTGTAAACATTTGCAGTTATCATAGAATAAAGTTTTACCTGTTGATTTTGCTGTTGGAGTATCAACCCATTCTCTTTTCTGAATTGACAACACATTCCTCGTGATAAAACACTGTAAAACACTGCAGAAAAGAATGTAGAATCGAGCTTATATTTTGAAGATGGTCAATAGTTAAAGTAAATTTCTGTACAACTTTATGTCACTCACATCATTCTGAGAAGGATGCCAAATCGTACCCAATCCATGACACTTCCACAGATGAAAACATCAGCAGGCAGTCTGATCCCGGCCTATTTATAGGTAAGTTGCGGGGGCTGATTTCACTGGGGAGGCGAAAAAAACACAGGTGTGTTTACTCTGTCATGTTAAAAGCAAGTAACAAAAGAGACACAAACAATGATCACTGTCTTCAGCGTGTGTGAAAAACAGGTTTTAAAGCAGCTGTAGACCTGCTAACTTGAAAACTTTTGTCATTAAATAATCTGTGATGATGATCTATTGTGAATTAACCATTAACATCCTGTTCTCCTATTATTTCACCTTAAGTTGCTTTATAATAATGCTATGCCACAGCATCACATATATTTTTGCAGCTCTTCATTATTATGATGTTTGCACTGAGAAAAATGGAGAAGTGTTCAAATCAAACTGTCTTTGATGATTTTTTTTTCCTATTTTTGATTTCTTATATCATTTTATACACCCCAAATTTTAATCTAAAAAATAAGGTTGGAATAGCTTGAAGACGATTTGTATGTAAATTTAGCTATATTACTAGCTAAATATCATTTTAGGCCGAATTATACATATCATAAACACATTTTATTATAATTATAGCGTATTCAAGTATCTGAAATGTTATCCATAAACGAATAAAACAAAGATCAAACTCATATATTATGGGGAAAACATTTTTTCACATGATACATAGTTACAAAATTATTTTTCAGTGCGCACCTTTTGTTTGGGTTTTCATGGTGAATCTTTATGGTTATACTTCAAAGGGTACACCCGGAGCTTTAAACTGTGGCTATTACAGGTCATATAACACGATAAGATTAATAATGTTAACCAAATAGCGTTTAAGTCAAGTTTATAAAAGAATTAAGCGACAACTGGTGATCTGAAGCCATAGTTTTAGCTAAAAGTTTTTCATTTTTATTTTTGGCATCCCTACAAAAGTCAAGAGTGTGCCCTCCCAACTCGATGATGTCATCTTCACAAGGTGAGCAGCCATTTTGTTAGCAAGCTTTGAGGTTAGTGAGGGTAGCCGCTTTGGTTTGACGATTTTGTGCTTCAGTTTAGAATAAGATAACTTGTCGATGTTTTTACTTGGGCACAATTTTTGGCAACGCGTTCGCAGACAAGCAGGGGGCTCGTCTGTTTGTTGACACGTCGCTAAACTAGATGGTCATTCATTTTTGAAGCTGCCTTGAGTTTGCTAGCTTGTTAGCTCGGTTAGCTAACTTGTTTACGCGTGCCGTCAGAGGGAAAGAAAACATTCAGCTCTCATGGCCGCCAGCTATTGAATGTGAGAGAGTTGGGAGTCTGGTTTCACACAGTTTGTCTGTCTGCGTTTGATTGCTCTTGTATTTCAGTCTTGTCTATTCTTGTATTCACTCAGTTAGCAGCGGTAAACTTGAGCGAGGATCGACGTTCAAACTCGTGTGCATCATCCCAGTGTTTACTAATAACTCGGGCTCTATCAGTGATTCCTCCTGGACCAGAGCTCAGCGTCTCAGAGACCATGTCGGAGCTGTACATCCGTGTAGCCGAGGATGAAAACGAGGAGCCCATGGAGATCCCCTCGGAGGACGACGGGACTGTTTTGCTGTCGTCGGTAGCAGCACAGTTTCCAGGGGCGTGTGGTCTGCGGTACAGGAACCCGGAGTCCCAGTGCATGAGGGGAGTCCGGCTTGTGGAAGGTGTCCTGCATGCACCGGAGAACGACTGGGGAAATCTGGTTTACGTCGTCAATTATCCCAAAGGTGAGGCGGGTGTTGGTGTAAATAACTTGAGTTTTTCCAGTGACTATTGGAGCTACAGTATATGGCGAACTACATAAATATAGTTTTGTTAGACTACATTTATGCCTCAACAACATCTTACACCTTTGGAATGGCCCGGAGCAACGACTGCAAGCCAGGCCTTATCACCAAACGTCAATATTCTTGTGGCTGAATGGGAGCAAATCCCTGCAGCTAGGTTCTAAAAGTCTTGTGAAAAGCCTTCACGGAAGAGTGGAGGCTGTTATGGCAGCATATTATTGCCCATGGTTTTAGAATAATATACTCAATTTTACTGATGAAATTAATTTTTTTTTATCCTTCACAGATAACAAAAGGAAGATGGATGAAATAGATGCTGCCTCAGCTGTGAAAGTCAAGAGGGGCTTTCAGAAGACATCAGATCTCATTGTCCTCGGGCTGCCATGGAAAACAACGGAACAAGACCTGAAAGATTATTTCAGTACTTTTGGGGAGGTCATCATGGTGCAGGTAGTGACATCTCACATGGCTGTGAATATTTTCTTTTTTGTCAATATTTCTTTGCTGGACCTCGAGTGTAAAAAGAATATGTTTTGGATTTCTCGTTTTCCTCTGTGTTCACTGCAGGTCAAGAGAGACGCAAAAACTGGCAACTCAAAAGGTTTTGGGTTTGTCCGGTTCACTGACTATGAGACGCAAACCAAAGTCATTGCTCAGAGACACATGATTGATGGAAGATGGTGTGATTGCAAACTTCCGAACTCAAAGGTAAGTTAAGCACCATTTCTTGAGCACAGAGAATGGTCAGGAACATCATGACTTAGATCATCAAGTATCAGTCAATGAGGTTTTGATGGGCACCAGGAGTTATATGTTAGATTCCTGTTTGACCATACATGGTGAATGCTGAATTCATTTTGTCGCCTTGCCAGGAACAGGAGGAATTATGTTTTTGGGTTATCAGTCTGTCCACCTTCATTTAGCCTCAAGGATGAACTGATTAGATTTTGGTGGTCAAAGGTCAAGTTCGCTGTGACCTCACAAAACATGTTTTTGGCCTCTTGAATGTGATATCTTAAGACTGCCTTGAAGGAATTTGATTTGGCAAGAACATTCACTTGGACTCAAGGAGGAACTGATTAGCATTTGGTGGTCAAAGGTCAAATTATGTCACAATTCAACACAAATGTCTGATTGGATAAAATGATGAAGTGATGACATTTTATATCCAAATGGTCAAGGTCAACTTCACTGTGACATAATTTTCAGCAAAAACACTTCTGGCCATTATTCAGTGCTGTACCTCAGGAAGGGGAGACCATATTGTGACCATATTTGCAACTTTACTGTTTGGCGGACGCATACATCTGCCAGCCGGTAATTCTATTCAGTTTTTTGATGGGAACATCTCAGTCTGCAGTTTTGAGGATGGTTGGTTTTTGTATTTACAAGTAATGTTAAACCGGGATGACAAAATTACAAACAATCATTAAATAATATGGAGGATAATACATTGCAAATTAAAAAATTGGAGTTGGTTGCGTACCTTACACCAAGCAGTAACACCAGGATAGCACTGGCAATCATGCATCATTAGCAGAACTAAGCTTTCTATGAGAACCATAAAGACTTGAACTATGTCCACACTACTATGTTTTCGTTTTAAAACACATAAGACAGAAACGCTGCTGGCCCAGTTTTAGTTTGAAAGCTCCGGGGGTTTGCGTTGTTGTCTGGAGAGGCAAAAACGGAACCCTTTGGAAACCGTGACGTAGACACCCACGGTCGCTCCCTGATTGGGTCTCATCAGCCTCGACTACCAGTGGTGAATACAACATGATAATGAAATACAAGTGTTACTGACCTTGCTGTCTTCGTTATCAGCTGTTGAGTTAAATTCTGCATTTTAACACGGCAGCTGTCTTTGCTGCTCCTCGATCATAGTATTTTTTGCAACTAATCAACTGCAGAGTAGACAATCTGCTTCCTGTTTACACCAGCTTTCTCATGCCCAGTGTATGTGATTGCCCAGGTATGTATGTGTTTTCAGGTGTGATAGTATAGACAGATCTTTTCTGAAAGGGAGCTAAAACGGTAGTCTGGACAGAGATAGTTTTCATTTGAAAATGCTGTTTTCAAATCAAAACATAGGTGTGGATATAGCCTTGGCCTAAGGGGGCTTCCACTCAACTTTAGGACTGCTTTGAGCATACTCATTGGGATTTATTTGCACAACACAACTATACATCCACTGTCCTGTTTAACGCACAGAACAGTATTGATAATGTCATTGTTGACAACATATCAGATGCTTTCCAAATAATAAACCATGGATGAGAAGGGACATCAAGCTTCTCTTGAGGGACAACACAGTCTCCAGGTCTGGAGCTATACAGTGTCACCAGATCCAACCTGAAGGGAGCCATCAAGGAGGCAAAGGCAGGCTACAATCAGAAAAACTGAAAGACACGTCAGTGATGGGGACCCTCAGTGTGTATGGCAAGGCTTTCAGTACCTCACAGACTGCAAAGGCCGCAAAGACCCAACCACCACCACCAGCAGTAGCAGCAGCAGCGTCTTGCTAGCTGAAGAACTCAACCACTTTTTCACCTTGAGGTAAATGAGGTGTATAAGGCAGAGACAGGGACTGCACTGCTACCAGCCACTGGTACTTCAGGAGAATGCTCTGTAGTGTCAACCACAGGAATGCTGCCGGCCCTGCCGCTATTCCAGGGAAGGCACTCAGAGACCGTGCAGATCAGTTGGCAGAGGTTCTCAGCAACATCTTTAATCTTTCCTTGTCAATATGCACTGTCTGCAAAGGCTTTAAGTCTGCCACTTGTGCCAGTCGCAAAGAGAACATCTATCAGAAGCCTCAACGACTACAGACCTGTGCCTCTCACCTCCTCTTTAATGAAGTGTTTTGAGAGGCTGGTCCTTTTGTTTCAATCCACTCTGGACCAACACCAATTTGCCTACTGAGACAACAGATCAACACAGCCCACCATACTGCAGTGACCCATCTGGAGCACTCGGGAACATGTGAGAGGATGTTGTTTGTGGACTTTAACTCGATACGATCATCCCCAGGAGAATGGTGAGCAAACTGCTTGACCGAGGTGTCAGCCAGCACACATGCATATGGAAGACTTGTGCACAGACTGTCAGGCTGGGAACAAATCTCTCCCCAACCCTGACACTGAGCACTGGAGCTCCACAGGGCTGTGGGCTGAGTCCTCTTCTCTACTCACTCTAAACACACGACTTCACACCCACCATCAACACAAATACCATTTGTTGTAGATGACAGTGTGGTGGGAGTCTGCTTCTTAAATCTTTACAGATTTTGTTGTACAGCTGTGCAAAGACAAATAAAAGCTTTGTCTTCTATTCTTCCTCCTAATTTCACTTTTTTTAAATGATACATTCACTGGATTGCAATGGATGAAGTCATCTGCTCTAGTTTTTTTACCTTTTATGTATGTCACAGATGTTTATTAAATCTTGGAAAAACCAATCTGAATTAGTCAGCAGCATGACTTAAAAAAACATAATTCAATGTAAATTTGATTTATGGCTGTGCCTCTTTGTCCTCTCAGGCGTGTCCTGATGAGCCAATGCGGAGCCGTAAAATCTTTGTTGGCCGTTGTACAGAGGACATGACAACTGATGACCTGAGGCAGTACTTCATGCAGTATGGTGAAGTCACTGATGTCTTCATCCCCAAACCTTTCCGGGCTTTTGCATTTGTCACATTTGCAGATGACCAGGTGAGATTCATCATGAATGGCACAGTTTGAGTATTAGTAGATGTCATAATTACAAGCTGATGTGCTTACTATGTTCTAAATTGTAAATTATAAAACTACAAGGCAGGTGCATCAGTCTTACTGTGTTAAAATATTACAAATTACAAGCATAGAAATATGGTATATGAATAAAAAAGAGTATAAACAGTATTAAAAGGGGGTATTGCACTGCAAGTGGCAGATATGATGACTTAACATCACCAGATTAAGTTTGAGTTATATAATAAGTGCATGTGATAACAGTAATCTTCTCGTCACTTATTTCTCAGGTTGCCCAAGCCCTATGTGGAGAGGACTTGATCATCAAGGGTGTCAGCGTGCACATCTCCAATGCAGAGCCCAAACACAATAATAGTAGGCAAATGATGGATCGTGGGCGGTTTGGGGCTGGTGGGTTCAGTCAGGGCTATGGCAGTAATCGTGGTGGGCTAGGCAGTGGTAGCAGTGGGGTTAACTTTGGGGCTCTCGGTCTTAACCCGGCAATGGTGGCTGCTGCCCAGGCAGCTCTGCAGAGCAGTTGGGGAATGATGGGCATGCTGGCTAACCAGCAGGGTCTGACCACAACGGCAGGCACAGCCACTACAACCCGAGACCAGACGTATAGCTCTGCCAGCACCAGTTACAGCAGCCCTAGCTCAGCTAGCCTCGGCTGGGCTGCAGGCACTAACACCGCCTCAAACAGTGGCTTCAGCTCTGGCTTTGGCACATCTATGGAGTCTAAGTCTTCTAGTTGGGGAATGTAGATAGTTTCAAGTTGACCCTTTTTTTGCTATTAGGCTAATCTGGTAAGTATACCTATAGAGGGGAACTGCTTATATCTTTTTTCCAATTATTTAAAAATACACTGCCTTTTATTTTGTTAAAGAGAAAATTTGTACTTGCATGTGACTGATGATGTAGTCATGCACTGAATGGGTGAAAAGTTTAGTTTGTTAGATGAAACTGCCACACTACCTTTTTTGTTTTTGAGAAAATGTCACAGAGATGATTGTGCATGCGAGATAAGTATTTATAAACATGCACGAGTATCTCAAGAGCTCCTCAGCCCCTTGTAAAATGGGTTTGATATAATTATATATCTGTAAGTTGTATATGTGCATTTGATTGCATCTTTTTGTTTGTTTTTGTTTGATATCTTTTGGAAACGCCTTCATGAAAATCTCTTCTGCAGTTCACCAACTCTTTCCCAATTTCCCGGGAGGAAGCGCCTCATTGGCAGCAATGTTCGACAGATCTCAGTATCAGTTCCCCTCTTCCCATGTGTAAATGCTTTGTCATCAAAGAACACAGCTTCACTCTGCATATACTGTGTTAGACGGTGGGTGTTCTTTTTTCCTCTCCCCTTTTTATGGATATAGAAATCTTGTCTGCTCTTGTCGCTTTTCAAGATCAATGAGTGGGATTTGTGTTGGACCGTGTGAGAGTGAGCGAACGGGAGCGTAAAATGAAAGAAAGCAAGTGTGAGAAGGACTGTTTGTGCAAAGTTTTTTTTTTTTTTTTTTTTTTTTTTTTTAAAGAGACAAATGCGAGAGTTGAGAAGAACCTGTGGCTTTGTGCGAGTGTGAGAGGAAGAAGCAAGTACGAGTGTGTTCCTAATGGCCATCAAAAGGACATTTATTGCGTCTCGAGATCCTTAAGGTCTCTGCTTTTTCTCATTGTTTTCTATCAACCTTAATTCTTTAAACACAGTGAAATGTCAAGTGCAATGAGTATTTGTATCCTTTCATAGCTTTCTCTTGCTGTCTGATTTGATGTGAATGCTGTGTCTGGTTGCGTGTTTTATTTTCTCCTTGTTACCACCCTCTCTGTGTGAAAATGTGACTTTGTGCTAGTGAAGTCTGTGTGGGGGGGGGAAACACTGAAAGTGTGTTGAAGTTTGCAAGTGAGCTCAGAGGTTGATGTGGTGAATGTTTGACAAGTTCCCATTGAAAGTTTGTGTTTGAAGTGGTTACGAATGCATTTTCTATGTTTTGTGAATCAAAGGGAAGTCTGAAATAAAACTGAATTTGACTAGGTATAATACCCTCTTGACAGTGACTTATTTTTGACTTTACATTAATTGAACTGCCAACACTTTAATTCACATGTATAGGGACCTCGGACACGGGCAGCCCAGGTTTTCGTCTGAATCCAGGTTGGAGTCAGTAATGGAGAAGCTGAAGACTTTGGTGGGTGGGCCGCTGCAAACCAACAATGAAATTGCTGCACGACTGCCCAAATCCTGAAAAGGATCTTCTTCACCTCACTAGCAAGAAACCTTGGACCATCCCTTATTGAAATTTAGAGTGGACCACACTCAATTGGGCTAGGGTAGTTTATACCTACAAATGTCACAAATAGGACCAAAGTCACACCTGCAGATTGGCAGTGGTCATACTTATTCTCTCTCCAGACTTGTGAAACCCAAAGCCTGCCTTAAATCTAAAGCATGTATTTCTGTCAGTAAATACTTTATTCTCTGTCCTCATAGCAGTTACTGATATCTCACTGAAGTATTAACTAGTAGGTTTCTTTTCAATGTCGTCAAAAATTATTTCAACAAGGCAGGAAGTGTTCTTGTTATTTCGTTTACCTTGATTGTAAAGTGGTTGAAATGTATGAGCTGACTGATTTTCAAAGGGACTTAAACAACTGACTGAACATGCCAGCAACTTTGTATATTGAAAGATTTTAGTATTGCGGTGTAAAATAAAGGTTTTGAGTTTTTAATCATCTGTTGTCTCTCAATTTAGATTAATCTAAGTTTTTTTGTTTTGTTTTTTGTTTTTGTTTGTTTTACCGAGCTCAGCCTGTAGCTCTTATTTTTAAAATTTTTCATATCTTTAATTCGATGGAAGCTTCGATTGTCATAAAATGAGCTAAAAAAATAAAGTGTCCTGCACTTTGTAGTGTTGATGCTGGCTGGCTGGTTGGTGAGTGTAGCTTTATTGTTCTGCCTGCTGGTGGTGCTGCTGTGCCATTTTGTAGGAACTTGTGGGACAATAAGTCACTTTTTCTGTATTGAAATTTAATCCTTGCTTTTGACTGTGAAGGCTTGTGAGAGTCTTTGTGTTTTCCTGTCCTCGTGGAGATTTGTTTTTACACCCATTTAGGAATATGAAGAATTGAAATGGATACTTAGCAACTCCTGAAACTAACTTAGTTAAAAACAAAGAAACAAAAAAAATCCCTTGGGATGCCCAGAGATGGAGGAAGTTTGGAGAACAGTCTGCAACACAAACCCTAAAGTACATCCCTGCTGGATGTCATCAACTACAGATATTATGAAAAAAAATACTAATAATGTAGCAAATGGTGTAAATCGTGACATCATTTCATTGGCCTGCAAGTGCACACGGTTTTTGGGAAAAAGGGGATAGCTTTTTTAAATAGTCTATCTATGGAAAATCCTATTTTTGGTATGGAAGTATTGGTATGAATTTTCATTCAGAAGAGCTGTGTGACATTCTCTGTCACACCAAATTAAATAATTAGAGAGCCAAATTCAAAATTATGGAGAAACAACAAAAAAATGTAACCTAGTAATAACCTGAATTTTCATTCTGAACTAGATTATACACTTTGATCAAGTCCAGGTCCGTTTAATTTACTTGAAAATTAAGGAATAACAATTGTACAGGTCTTCGGAATACCCTTGTCTACCATTTTATGGTTGTGGGGGTCATTCATTTCCTGCATGGTCGAAGGTAACAGTTACCATTTCACACAGTCATAGCCCACAGTCAACCTTTTAAAAACAACTTTAATTGAAGCTTGCTGCTCTAAACATTGTGACTTAATGTCCTCTCTCTCACTTGAAAGCAGGTTTAAAAGGTCTTCCGGAAGAAGTTCTTGCACTGTGGTCTGTCCCGGGAGGCCATCCTCTCTGCCGACTTCTTACTGAGGTACTTTTCTGGATCCATGAACCCAAACTGCAGCTCCATCATTCCTGAAAGCATTTGCTATGATTTCCCCTACTCCTCCTGCGGTGTCTAATGTAACCACAAATACAGTGACACACATGCTGAATATACAGTGTATGTGTTTCTGATGCTGTAAGCTGCTTTTGATCGTATGTATTGTCGTAATTATTATCCGAAACTATTTAAGTTTAAGTGGTCAGGTAAAATTTTATTGAAATCACCAGATTAAATGACCAAATGAACTAGACTCACTCTCATGATGGCCACTGTGCTCAGTCTGCTGAAGATCAGACTTTAACCACTGCTGCCTGATTTATAGTCCCTCACTCATGAGTGATTCAGTCGACATCAAAGGTATAATTACCCACATTAAGCCTCTCCATGTACCCACACACAATTTTGTCATGTTCCTGTCCTCAGCTTCACTGAATGTTTTCTCCACATGGCTTCACAAATGACCAGTTTACAACTTTAAAGCCTGTGATGCTTAAATTGTGTTGTCTGTTTGTGTTGTTTTTGGTATTGACTGTTTTAATTACATTGGACATGTAAAAGCCCAACTAGGGGCAGGGGTCGAGAATTAGCAATAGCTATAAACTCTTTCTGCAACGCATTAGTTTCATACCCTATCTTGAAACTATGTTAAAATGCATTGTCCCTATCAAATAAATAACTAAACTGAACTGAATTACTGACTGAGTACAAAACTGAGTACACCCCTGTTCAAAATTGTACCATCTTACAATAATTGTATTATTTTTAAGTTGAAATGTAGGGTATTTGACCTGATGTATAATCAACAAACAAACAGGTTAGATAGACTGCATTGAAAATACAGGTCCCAAAGTAAAACCTCAGTGAAACAAAAGTGATCTAACTGCATTAACAAGGTTATAACAGAACCTGTGAACACCAGAGCTTTCTCAGTTTTGGCCTGGTCTTTGCCCAATGCAACGTGGTAAGGAAAAACAAGTAAGAAGCCAGATTGTGAGACTTCTAAAAGACGGGAGAGGGTACAACAGTACTTATAAGCCGAAACACAGTTACAGCAGTGGTTATGAAGTATAAGAGGAGCCATACTACCGATAACAAAGGCTTAGAAAGATTACGTCAAAGTCTTATCAAGTCGTACAGTTTTGGTTATTAAAGAAACAAAACCTCCTGAGTTTAAAGGAAAATGAGAAAATTCAACCCAACTCAAGGTTCAAAAGGGAATTTCTCAAACATTCTCTCTGTTATCCATCTGTGCAAATATTTCCAACAGTTTTGGAGCCACATTGTGCCCCATTGAAAACTAAGTGAACAGGCCATTTTTTACAGAGCAAGTTCCTAACAAACAAACTTGTGATGACTGATTAGAAGTAGTTTTTTTGTTAGCCCTGTATAAAGTGGCATATGCCCTTTTGACATATTGAAATGGAATTTGCCATCAGACCAACTCTTGTGAAGACATTTTAAACAAGTGGTACTGCAGTTAGTGAACTTTAATAGTCCAAGTTCTTCCCCTCAATGCCTCTGCTCTGAGGGTTTATGGGTTTTGCCGATGGTTCTTTTCAGCAGTGTTCTCTCTTTCACTGTTTTTTACATTTGGTTCCTTCTTCCATTCTTGACCTCAGCTCCTGTGTGACCACCATGGAAACACCATCAATGCCAAAACCAGAGTCAACATGTTTTATCGTGTTAATTTCAAGGGATAGTTCAGGTCATTTGACGCGGGGTTGTGTGAGGTAGTCATGCATAGTCAGTGTGTTACTGCAGTAGATTCGGATCAGCACGCAGCCAGTTAGGAGAGGCAGCAGGGAACACGGTACACTAGCAGAAGGAATAGTACTGTATTCCTATGCACAAGCGCACCTACAGCGAGCACTACTGCTGAGAAAGAGCTAAACTTCACTTTGTTTTGATACATGAGTTGTGCATTTGAACAGATATTGGATTGTTTCAGTGGGCATCGTTTAAAACACGTTTTTTTTCTGCAGGCCCAGTATACAGTAACACATCGCTCTGCCTCTGTGCTGGTGCTTCCGGCCTCCTCTCGTAACTGGCAGCGCACTCATCCAGATCTACTGCACTGGCATGACGACTATCTCACTCCACATCAGATAACCCGAACTATCTCTTTAACTTGTGACAGATGTAGAGCTGTACTCTTTAAAAGAGTTAAAGCTGGGGTGTCAAGTGGCGCAGTGGGTTGAGCAGACGCCCCATATGTAGAGGCTGCAGTCGGCCCTGGCTCGAATCCTGCATCGGACGGCCCTCTACTGCATGTCATTCCCCCTCTCTCTGCCTCCCCATTTCCTGTCTCTCTCTACTGTACTATCTAATAAAGGCATAAAAAGCCCCAAAAATATATATACTTTAAA